GCTGTTGTTCAGAGGGAACATTGCTACGGATGGCGTCCTCGGTTGTATTATCCAGTTCGTGAGTACTTGCCCATAAGTATTGCAATCCAACTTTTATTATTATTTACGAATTCTCATTAAGGACCTCGCCCAACGCTGTACTGTCCACATTTCGATGAGAAACTCTTGAAGTGTGTCCGTTTTATGAACAAACATCATTTCAAGGTCGCTTTTAATCCGATTGATCCTAATGCTGGATTGAAAGGCGCCAAGCGAAGAAAGAGTATACATCGTTACGCGTACAAAATCGTGCCAACCGACTCTCTACCTCCAAAGGTGGAACAACAAATCGTTGTGAGTAATACTCTTGTCGTAATTGTACTTAGTGAACCAAAGCCAGTAGGGCCTAAGAACTGATTATCATCCTTATCTTTTTCTGAATTCATTTGTTTAACAAAGAATTAAAAACGAAAAGGGGTTGATTTGGGTTTTTGGGTGATTATTAAACAAAACGAAACAAGTGAAATTAGCTTGTGAGATTTTCTTTAATATAGAAGTGGATCTTTTCACAGTCCTAAATTTTATTCTTTCTCTGACTTGTTCCATCTTTATAGAAATTCTTTGTTCGTTTATTTCAAAAATGTTCGTAGATTTAGTTAGGGAGATTTGGCTATTTTATTAATCACGACTGTCGTACATTCTCCGCGCATTAGGGTCGTATTCTAGAGTAATGGTAGGTAGTAAGGGGTTAGAATCACAAGTTCGCCTAAAAAAGCTTACTACAGTTTTTTGGCGTGTTTTTGGCGAATTATCTCTTTTGGCATTATAACTAGTTAGTGAAACAACAATCAAGGGTAAGATCAAATTATCATATCTTAGCCAAAGCTTTCAGTTAGGTTTGCTATAGTTGTGCAAATTATCTGTATTTTAAAAAGCATCCTAGGTTTGTCACCATTTCATAAAGTACTCGAACCAGTTTAAGGAATTTTTCATTTTGAACTACCCTTACCCACCATTTTTAGGCAAGGTGCCACTGAGAATGGATATTCTTTATAACCAGCTTGTTAAATAACCTACGTCAACACGTAATTTGTGATATTGACCACCCACAATATACCTACCTTAAGCTTACTACAAGTTCGTGCTATTCAAAACAGATGTGGTTTTCGTGGACAACAGGTCAGAGTTCCCCAGTAGACCAGTTTCCAGATTAATTTCTGGGTTCTTACACTAAAAATCCCTACCATAACCCAAGGTAACCCTGCAGAATAGATATAAATCGAACAACATGTCAACTAATGAGTTTTGGCGAACGACATAATTTTGTATTTTCGCCTTATGCGGTTATCGAAAAAGGTAGGCACCCCGTAGTTGATGTTAATGCTTGAAGTTTTTTTCCTGTTCGCGTTGATATTGGATTACAAATATATCTGAACGCTCATCTGAAATATGATAATTTGAATGCCCATCCTTATATTCGTTGTAACACGCCATTATACCGGCAATAAAGCTGCGTGGAAGGTCTTTGGTCATCTGCATTAAATCTATTTATTTAACGAGTAAGTGGTTGATTAACGCGATATTTAATTATATTTATTAAAACCTTGCTCAAAACGCTTATCACTTTCTTGTCAATAGATTATTTTCAATCTCTATGTCATCATCATAAAACTGTGCAGTGAGAGAATTTTTTGTTCTGATTAGTTAACTAATCATTGAGGGGTCTGTGTAGTTTTTGATCATAGCAGTTTTTTTGATAAACGCTAAATAGAGAAATCGTTTAGCTTAGGAAGCCATCAATATCTTTAAGGAAGGTAAATTGAAGGTTTTTTTCTAGTAATTAAGAAGAAAACTTATTAAGCAGGGTAACTTCTCTGCTTCAGAGTAGAATTGAGTGTTGATAAATTTTAAGTTGATTAGTATCCTCCGATTTAGCTTCAGAGCTCTTGTTAAGTTTTCCACAAATTCATCTTATCGTTGTGATCGCTTTCATGAACTAACATTGTGAGAATTCGAGCATTTGAGGCTTGACGTCTGCAACTGTACAATAGGTACCTTCTATGGTTGATGAGCGCTCAATTTTTTATTATTTGATTTACCGCCTTTTCATTCTGTGACGTCAGTGCAAAATTACCGTTTTTTTCCATGAAGACTACTAATTTATGCAAAATCATTCTTCAAAATCATAAAGTCCTTCAGGATAAAACTTAAAGAGACCTAAAGATATCCTGCAGATTGTTTATCAGTATTTCCTTAGAAAGTTAACATCCTAAATATTGTCCTTCTTTTCAGAGCAGTTCATACGACGTAGAAAGCATGAGAGGATTATCAATATTTGATCTCTTTCCTCCAGTGGTGTTGGAGGGTGAGTCAACAGAAACCTCGGCTAGTTCAACAGATATGCGATGATATCCAGACGACTTCCTCACTGATCTCATCTCCCAAGTACGCACTGGAGTTGGGATTAGCCACGCATATACGTGCAGATGTCTCAGTTTGTTGGTTTTTATCTTTGTAGATAACAGGTTGATAGGTTCAGGTGTATAACTATGGCATTGAATCTCAATAATTGCTCCGAGTCGTAACAAAACCAATTCTTTCCATGGTCTCTTTCATTAGCGTTTTCATTGTATCTCATATTCGGGTATTATCAACTTCAAACATTTCCTTTCGTATTGTTCTCCTGCCTTCATATGCTCAGGACTGCCAGTCTATCTATCTATATGTGTATGTGTTGTTTTCACTATATTATCGTAAACTACTCTTATTCTAGCAGGAATTTCTTCCCTCTGTGTTGTTGATTATGCTTGTTCTATTCTAATGATGATCATTGTTCAATATTTTGCCGTGTTTGTGGGATAATTAAAGCCAGGTTAGGTCTTGTTTCTATGTGTTTTCTTTTGAACTGAATTGTAATAAAACTGTGCAGTGCATACAATCGTAAACACATCAATATGAAATAAACAAGCTTGTGGATCAAATATAATGAGAGCATTTGATCTTTTTTGGTAAGAAAAGATTATTCGCTGAGAGTTTTTAGAAGAGGGAGAAAGTATTAACGATTGAAATTCGTAATTTAAAAGAAAAACTAGGCTTTCTTCTTGATAAATCTTTTTTGAAGCAAATGTTCTAGATCCTTCCAGGGTTTTTTTCCACCACTTATTTGGTAAACATCAAGTTTTAAGTACGCGAGAATGAAGTAGCGCAAATTTTCCCGCTGTCACCATATGCATATTATGACATGACAAAAAGGTTCACGTGAGCTACTTTTTCAAGGCAAAAAAAAGTATAATGGAAATGTTACCTTGATGTCGACGATATTGACAGCGGAAAAATGCGCCGCTTGACGAATGATAGATGCTGACCGTCCAAAGTAAACCAATATAAAGGGAAACAGAAGAGGTTTCGGTTTCTCTGCTATAAAAGAGTGTTATTCAACTCTGTATGAAGCCTAAGAAGAAATG